AAGAAGAGAAAAATTAAAGATCCAATAATTACTACCATTTCTGGTTTCTTGCTATGCACTATTCTCAGTCCCTCAAACACCAGTAGTCTCATTTTCTCCCCACACCTGAGCTATTGAGAAGCGCAGCATGGTTTTCTCCAGAAGAGAGCATGAAGGACCTGACCCAAGGTCACACATGCACTAAGGGTGGACATTGACATTTGAAACCAAAGTCTACACAACCCTTCCTCCCCCAGTAAATGTCCCCTGGTGGCCTGGCGATTTTTCCTTTTGCCAACACCTCTTTCTTATCCCAGACAAGATTTGCCTGTCAGTATTTTACAGAGTTCTTGCATCCCACAAAAAAGACTACCAAATCACCAAAAAAGAATTGGAGGGCTGGCTCCATATTTATAGTGTCCTCTTCTCTAAATAACAAAAAGTGAATGGCAGAGAAGAAGGTCAAATATTTACCTAACAATGTCTAGATTCAGTTAGAGATTATTTCTTCAAAACACCAGACATTATGAGCAACCCCAAAGTAGTTCCATTTGGTTTGTGTCTAAAATTAACCTTAAGGAAAATGAGAGTTCAATTTCCTACTGGGTGTAGGCATCTCAAGGCACATAATCCAAAGAGAACTCTTGGTTGTCCCTCATCCTATCTACAAAACATATTTTTCTCTTATGATCTTTGCCTCTGCAAAGGACACCTCAACCTCTCAGTCTAAAGCCAGCAATGCAAGGGTTATACTGGGGAGAGTACCAGGGATTGAACTTAGGGACACTTGACCACTGAGCCACATCCCCAGCCCTATTTTGTATTTTATTTAGAGACAGGGTCTCACTGAGTTGCTTAGTACCTTGCTTTTACTGAGACTGGCTTTGAACTCACGATCCTCCTGCCTCAGCCTCCTGAGCTGTTGGGATTACAGGCTTGCGCCACCAGGTCCAGTTCAAGGGTTATCTTTGACCACTCTCTTTCCAAACTTTTATATCCAATCCAATAGCAATTTTCATGCTCTCTATTTCAGATATATTCCTTCTCTTCATTTCTCTTTCCTCCCCAAAACCAAGTCTCAGCATCTCTAGACCACTGTTCTCCCTGCCTCATGGATCCCTTGAAAATCTCATCACAGCAGCCAAAGTTTGAACCAATTACCATGTCTCCTCCCTGTCTAAAATTCTCCTGGCAACAACAACACAGTCTGAGATTCCTAGCCTGGCCCACACCAGGTGCTGTGTAACCTGGCACAGCCTGCCTCCCCAGGTTCTGGAGGTCTGTTCTCCCTGATTCCCTCCATATGAAAACCATGTGAGTGATAAAACAGCATTCCACAAGAGCCAGGCACAGTGGCGAACACCTGTAAGCCCAAAAGGCTCAGGAGGCAGGAGGACTGCAGGTTCAAGGCCAGCCTCAGCAACTTAGTGAGGCCTAAACAACTTAGCAAGACCCTGTGTCAAAACCACAAATAAAATAAAGGGCTGGGGATGTGGTTCAGTGTCCAGTGTCCCTGGGTTCAATCCCAAGTATAGAGAGAGAGAGAGAGAGAGAGAGAGAGAGAGAGAGAGGACATTCCACATGAAAATGTGAATAGCAGGAGACCCAGATCCACACATAAAATGGTTCCCACAAATACCAGCCTTTATCTCCTCACCCCCTTTTTTAACCTTCCTGACACACTTCCTAAATGTTTTTGTTCCTTTGTTTAGATGCATTTACTTCTTAAGGCCATCCTACAAACCTAAAATATTTTCTTTAAATATATATAAGAATGAGTTAGACAAAACCCTTGCACCATGTTTCCTCCTGCTGTGGTCAGTCTCACCTCATGCGTGTGAGCCAGGCATTCTGTGCACACTCTCCGGAGTATATTCCAAAACCTGGGTTTTCTCGCCCATGAATTCTCTTTGTGTCATTTATCTTGTGTTTGGCCCTAACTGCCTTCCTAAGGCCATGCTGATGAGGCTGGGGGTACTACAAATAAATTAAGGCCTAATATACCGGTGAATGTTAAGATGTAAGCTTTATAAAAGCAACTTAAGGGCAGGAAAGAGGACACCAGTGTAAAAACTCCACGGGGCACACCACTGGCCTGTGTTTTCTACACTGGTGTGTTAACTCCAACATGATTTTCTGATGTTCCATCCCTGTCTTGTATTTTATTTTATTTTGGCTTTTTGTTTTACCTTTTTCCTCGGCTGCAAGTTCTACAGTCATTTACTTTCTTTTCATTGACATAATCAAGATGATGAAGGCTCTTTATGCTCCTATCCATAAGCTGTGTCTGGTACTGTAATTTCACAATCAATGTGTTTTTGTTCATGTTTTAAAATTAAAAAAAAAAAAAAAACATGTCGTGGGTGACTGATGTTAAGTCCCAGAAGCTGGTAAGGAGCATTATCAATGGCACAGAAACTTAGAGAACTCATCAAGAGTTCTGTGGTTGGTGACTTGTCATTAACTTGCAAGTAATTTGAAAAGAACTGCCAAAGGAAGATACTGTGAGTTCCAAAAGAAAGGTGGCATGAATTAGCCCAACTGTTTGCACAAGGACATTTCCCTGGATGAGAGGAGTGGTAGACTCACTCTACTGGTCAATTCAAAGTTTCCTCCATAAGAATACACCCACGGGTTTTGTTCTCTGGAGTAACTCCGGCTCCTAAAACATAACCTGGCACACAGTAGATGCTCAACAAAATAGCCTCTGAACAAATGAATATATTGTCAAGGTTTCTGTCTTTATCACGCTCTCTCTTTCTTCTCACGGAGGCAGATTTCCCTTTTCCCCTGGAGAAAGAAGTGTATGATCACTGGGTAATCATAAATCTTCTCCAGACCACTAAGGGACCCTCAGCCATAGTTCAGAGAACACAATGTGGGAGGTATAGACCCTGACACAGAGATATTAACCATTACACACAATGCCTTTGCAGCCAATGGGAGACTTGGAAAATGGGTGAGTCCACTGTGGCAAGAACAAACATTGGCAGACAGCTATAAATCACAGTACTCAAACTCAATAAAAAACAAGACTTCCTGTAGGCATGGTCAGTAGTATAGCAATATCGCACTTTACTTAGGTAGCTTTCAACAAGACAGGTATTTTATCATCATGATCATTATACCTGGCTATTTTGCTTCTTCTTAATCGTACCTCCAATCTAAACACCACAGTAAGTTTAGAACTATGCAAAAGTGCCAGGCATGGTGGTAAACACCTGTAATCCTAGCTACTAGGGAAGCAGAAGAGGATCGAAAATTCAAGGCCAGATTCAGTATTCAGACCCTGTCTTCAAATACAAAGGGCTGGGGGCATAGCTCTGTGGTAAAGTGCCCCTGGTTTCAATCCCCAGAACCAAAAAGAAAAAAAAAAAAAGCTATTCAAAAAGAACATTACTCCAATTCCTCTTAAATCCACTCAAAAAAATCCTTTAATGCACATTGAAGGTAAAATACTGTATTCAACCAAGTAAAACAACTGTAATCCAGGGTTAAAGCTCTGTTGACCTCATAAACTACCTGAAGAAAAAAAAAACATTAAAATTGATTACCCAACAAACCAACAAAATGCTGTTGCTGACAGGGTAGCTTGAGGTGTCATTAATAAGACGATTTCCAAGAACCAAAAGCAGACTTAGTCATCTCAACTCTCTCCCATCCTACGCACTCTACCTATTCTTTTTCATCTTTCAAGAATTGAAGGGAGAAAGGAAGGGGTAAGAGCAGACACTGAGACTATTTTGAGAAATTAAAAAAAATTCAAAAGTTAAGTGCCGTTTGTACTAACATAGTAACACATCTCCCAGGAAACCCAGGTGACTCTGAAACTTCTATATCTAGAACATCAACAGAGAAACAACTCAGTTTCCATACATCCAAAGTCCTCTTCCTCACCAAGCTGAGTTTCAAGTAAAACAGCATGCTGTTTCTGCTGGAAGCAATCTGAATCTTTCCAGTTTCCAGGAAGAGACAACCAAAAAATCTGGTCCACCCAGCAGAGATAAGCAAGACTTTGCAGGATGTGATTCAAATCTGCTAAAAGCCATGGACTATTGAAGGGAGGTGAAAGGATCTCACCAAAGAACCTCCCTAGTGCCCTTGCATGGCATTCATGTTTTTGTTCCAGCTTGTTTTTCAAAAACCAAGTTCAAAAAATTAGGAGTAGTATCATATCTGATCCTTATTAAGTTATTCCTCACAACTGTAGTCCACACATTTAAGATCACCTCGAGTACACAGGCAGCACCTTTCCTTGACATCCCCATCCTTCCATGTGTCTGTCCATAAGTAGGCTTCCCAATTTTGAGGCCAAAGGGGAGAGAGCAAGAAACTTCAAAAGGCATCTAAAGGGAAAAAATAATAATTTAAACGACAGAATTTCTATTTTTGAAAGGGGGAGAGGGTCTTTTGGATTTTTTTCCTTTTTTTTTTTTTCCTTTATTTTAAGAAACTTGCATTGCAGAGATTGGAGGTTGGAAGCTGCGAACTGAGGAAGGGGTATACACGCCCGCCGGAGGACACTGAGAAAGACAAGTGGCAAGATCTGTTGGTGGCACTGCTGTTTTTAAACACCAAAGTTTAAAACTACGTTATGGGGAGAATTGCTGTACTCGGACCAGAGGACCAGACGTGCTGTTTCAACTGGGCACAAAGCACGCCTTCCCTGCCTGCCTTTCTCAGCCATTCTTAAGGGTGCGGGAAACTGCTGGCAGACAGGGCAAGGGAATCAACCAGCACAATCCTCTTGTCACTCCAGACCCTGCAGGTACCAGCACAGAAGAAAATCAGGGCTCTCTCCTCCCTCCCCGCCACTGCGGTGCGGTCCCAGGGTGGGGCCCCTGCGCACCCTGTCCTGGGCACCCCACCTGGAAGGGAATAGGGACTCAGAAAGGGCACGGTGCGGAGGCAGCACCGCGATCGCGGGTGGCACCATCTCGCGCGCACACAAACACACACTGAGCAGCGCGGGGAGGGGCGCGCAGTGGCGCGGGCGGTGGCGCAGGCGGCGGGCGCGTTACCTGTTCTGCCAGCCCTGGAGGAGGTTGGTGTATTTGCTGAGCACGCCCTCGAGCGCCGGCTCCCGCCTGCGGCTGCCTCCCCCGGACGGGCTAGCGGCCACCGAGCCCGGGCTGC